ACGTACGACACGGGGTACTAAAGTGAGGTGGGTTGAAAGAAACTGAAATTGCCATCTTGTGAAGCATGATCGATAACATGTTTTTGTGACTGCAAGCACATTCATAAAAAGTTTGAACTCGTATATCGACGTTTCGTTTTTTCTCATTGTTCTTTATTTTTTCACTGCGCTATGCAGAAGTACTCATTATTCAAAACTGCATAATAAATAAATTCATGCTCTGTAAGTAAGTTAAGCGAAAGTAAAACACTCAGAGCCAGTTGTCCACACAAAAAACCTTTTCTTCGGTAAGCGTGGTCACAGATCGCCAGGGCGCCTATCCTGAACTCCAATTTATTTTTAATTTAAATAATTAACCATTAAATACTTTGACTATAACTTGATCGTTGTTACTGTACTATAAGAAAATACCAGAATCATTCACTAGTTTTTAGTGATGATTCAAATAAACTTTTGTTGTTTTTCTGTGAACTTCCTGCTCTTAGAGTTGTCGAGCAGGCAGTTCAAAATCAAATAAAACACGAACTGCAACAAGATACGGAATATTCCAAACCATCTACGTGCGATGATCTGGGATGAGTATTTCTTTACTTAGCTGTGCTGTGGGCATATTTTCTACTGTTGGAATGATGCTCACTGCATTATTTTTATTCTAAAAGTATTTAAGTGTCAATTAAATTTAATTTAGAAGTGCACGAGAGACGATAGACGATTCTTTCTATTTTCTGAATGTAGTACAAACATTTCTTTGCAGGATGGCATTGTTAAAAGAGTTTACACTCAAAATTCTTTCCAGAAAATGTTTTACTCAAAATGGGTGAGAGAAAACATCGATTTGTGGAAAATCTAATTGGACTGTGAAAGGTTTTCCAATCAACCGACTGAAAGAGCATCGTCTAAAATCTATAAAATCTCATGCAACACGTTAATAAGAGAACAAGAACTAGAGTTCCTTAATTATAAACAAGTCTATATGTACCTTTTTTAGGATGGAATCAAAATGCGATAACAGTAGCTGGCGGACATGAACAAGGTTCAAGATCAAATCTGTTAAAGTATCCTTATGATTTATTTATTGATAATAGGAATGATTTATATGTGGCTGACAGATCTAATCATCGTATTCAAAAATGGTCAATGGGTGCAAAAGAAGCACAAACAGTTGCAGGCGGAAATCGGGAAGGATCAAGTGCAAACCAATTATGGTATCCATCGAGTATATATGTTGATTATAATGAGAATCTATATATAGCTGATTCATGGAATCGT